AGCAGTGATGAGGCGCCAGGAGGATGCCAGGAGCAGCCCCAGGCAGGGCCCGGAGTGGGTGGGCAGAGGCGGCCGGAAGGTCTTGCGTATCTGGGTGAGTGGACAGCGGTGGGTGACCAAGAGGGATGGGAGTGGTCAAAGCCTTGGGAGCCGAAGAGGGCTCTGGGCTCTGCACCCCACTGATGACCTTCCGCCGACAGGGGGAGGAGGAGGCATCTACACCTACAGCCTCTCAGGATGCTATCTGCAGCCTGGTGCCAGAGGTGCAGATGGGGAAACTGAGGCTCGGACAAGACAAGTGACTTGGCCCAGACCTGCTGGTACGGGCCTGGGCTGCGTCCTTACGTGGGTCGGAGCTCTCTCTCCTCCCCATAAGACTGCCTCCCGGAAGGATCCTGCTGGCCCCTCAGGGCAGCCGCATGGGGGGGTAAGGGGCCAGGCAGGGGCTGGGCTGCTGGAAACGCCAGGCTCAGTCTCTGCAGAGGAGAAGGCCTGGAAAGGGGCCCTGGGGGACTCAAAGGAGGAGGCGCCAGGATACTCTCAAGGCAGAGAGGCCAGCGGGCTTCCGTGATGAGGATGGCAGGTGCTGGGGACAGGGCCGCCCTGCAGACAAGCTCCTGGCCACTGGCCCCACCCCACCACTGTGTCTGTGTGAGGTTGGGTTGCTCCTTGGGCCGGGGTCTCCTGACTCACCAGCCTGGGCAGCTCTTCAAGCAAAGACACCCTGGATGCCTGGCATCTAGCAGACCACCGCTGGGGTCCAGCCCAGACTTGACTGTGCCCAGCTATGGGACTCTGGGACGTGATCCAGCTTCGCTGGGTGCTCCTCCATTTCCCCACCTGTCTATGGGGTGGTGGGAGGCTGGGCTGGAGTGGAGGGGTCTGGGTGGGGCCAGGCTCCTTGGGGCATGTCCCTGCCAAGCTTCAAGGCTTCATCTCAAGGCTGCCCTCCTGCAGCTCCACGCTGTTCCCAGATGCTAAATATAAGAGCGGGAGGGCCTGGGATGCCCCTGACCTTTGAGACCAGTCCCCAGGGTCTATGACTGGAGACGGCTCTTCAGCAGCAGGGCTCCAGGGAGAGGGATGTAGTGGGCATGGAGATGACGGCAGAGGCAAAGCCTGCCTGTCCTGCAGGCTTTCTGCACAGGGCGTCACCTGCCCTGAGGGCTTGGGGGTGGTTGTTCCTAGGGCTGGAGTCAGACCTGGTGCAACTGGATCCAGGGAGAATTCCAGGAGCCAGGGGTGCCTGCATTTCTGTCTGTGTGACAGGGAATAGCCATGCCTGGCAGGGCTGCCTCCTGAGCTATGCTGTTGACACCATGGGCAGCCCAGGAAGTGCCTGGGTGTGGGATCTCCCCTGCCACATGGTTCCATTTGGCCTGTCCATCGGTGCAGGGGAAGTGCCCTGGGGGAAGATAAGGGAACCTCAGAGATGCTGTTTCTGTTGCACTGGGTCAGTGGTGTTCCATCCAGTGTAGCCGCCTGCCACCCCAGGCCTCTACAGGCTCACCCGGGTCCTGTCTGTCTGCCGGGACAGCACAAGCCCCGGTCTTGGAGTCAGGGCACAGGTGCCCTCAGAGTCTCCGTGCGTGCAGCAGGGACCTCACTGCCTGCCCCTTGGGTCACGGTGACAACTCAGGAATTGGCATGAGGCAGCCTGAGGATATTGCAGGCGGCAGGACAGAAGGTCGCCCCTGACGGCAGGCAGGAAGCACGATAGGGAAACAGGCCAAGGACAGCACCACCACACCGGTGACCTGGCTGAGAGCTGGCACCCTCCATCCCGTAGGTCGGCAAGATGTCGGTGAAGGAAGGCGCACAGCGCAAGTGGGCGGCGCTGAAGGAGAAGCTGGGGCCACAGGACTCAGACCCCACAGAGGCCAACCTGGAGAGCGCGGAGCCCGAGCTGTGCATCCGCCTGCTCCAGATGCCATCTGTGGTCAACTACTCGGGCCTGCGCAAGCGCCTGGACAGCAGCGACGGCACCTGGATGGTGCAGTTCCTGGAGCAGAGCGGCCTGGACCTGCTGCTGGAGGCGCTGGCACGGTTGTCAGGCCGCGGTGTGGCGCGGATTGCGGACGCCCTGCTGCAGCTCACCTGTGTCAGCTGCGTGCGTGCCGTCATGAACTCGCGCCAGGGCATCGAGTACATCCTCAGCAACCCGGGCTATGTACGCCAGCTCTCCCTGGGTGAGCTGCACTGCCCGGGCGGGATCAGGGACCCAGTACAAGGCTCCAGGTCCAAAAGGCCGGGAGGAAAGCAGTCAGCCAGACGGGCAAGAAGGGCGTCCTGGTGGAGGCACCAGCTTCCCGGGTTCAGGCAAGGCATCAGCGTGCAGCCCAAGTCTGAGGCCTCCAGGGCAGCTGCACCAGTCTGTCCTCCGTCCTGGGACCCTGCCCTGCCTTCTTCCCGCCTCCTACCCAGCCCCCACCCTGCCACTTCCAAGCCCTGGCCCAAGCCAGAGCTTGGTCAAAAACACAAGGTCAAAGACACAAGTCCCTCTGGTGGTACCCACTTATGCCTGCCTGGCTCCAAGCCCTTCCACCACAGCCCAGCCATAGCCTTCCACCTGCTGGCGTCATCCTGCACCTCCCAGCACCCCCCTCCCCAACCTGTGCCCGCTCCAGCACCCAGGGGACTTCTTCCCTAGCAGGCCAGGCTGTGGCCTCCCCCTCCAGCTCAGACTGTCATCTGGCTTTACATTCTCCAAAGTCCTGCTCATCCTTTAGATCCCTGCTCACGTTCGCCTCCTCCAGGAAGCCTCCTGGGCTGTGCCCAGAGTCATTCCCTTACCTGTCAGGCTGTGCCACTCTGTGGGGACAACCAGGTTTCACCAATACTTAGGGTCCAAGAACTGGCCAGGATGGGCAGTGATGGACCGGGCCAGACCCATAGGGACAGCTGATACCTGTGTTGGGGAGCGAGGCAAGAGGCCTCATTTCTGTGTGACCCAGAAGACAGAGACTGGGGCCTGACTGTGCCCTGATGAAGAGTCCTCTGGGAATTGTTTTCTTTTTTTTTTTTTTTGAGTTGGAGTCTCAATATGTCACCCAGGCTGGAGTGCAGTAACACGCTCACAGCCACTGCAGCTCGACCTGCTGGGTTCACGTGATCCTTCCACTTCAGCCTTCCAAGTATTTGAAACTATAAGCACGCACCACCACACCCGGCTAATTTTTTGCATTTATCGTAGAGACGAGGTCTTGCCAAGTTGCCCAGGCTGGTGTCGAAACCCTGGGCTCAGGCAATCCTCTCGCCTTGGACTTCCAAAGTGCTGGGATTACAGGCTTGAGCCACTGCGCCCAGCCTGGGATTTGTTTTCAGTGGGCTATATGAAAGATACCCCACAACTCTAACAGATTGAGTGCTGGGATGGGAAGCAGGGACCCCAGGCTGTGTCGGTCTCAAATGCAGTCAGTGCCGAGTCTGCAGAAATCCTGGTCCCGGAGCCAGCGACGGGACTGGTTGGGCCAGCAGGGACCCCTCAGGCCTAAAGGCAGGCTCAGCAGACCCTCAAGTGACAGGGCTGCCCTCTGCCTCCAGGCCCTTCCCTTCAGGGTCTGGCTCTGTGGCTGGGAATGGGTCGGACGCCGAGGGAGGAGGGCAGCTCAGCAGGGCCCAGCCCTTTGTTCAGCACTGACGGGAGCCATGGGCGAGCACATCGGCCCACCATGCCTGGAGCCCCAACCTTGAGCCTGGCTGCTCAAGCACGGGAACAGATGTGTGCCCACCTCCCGCAGCCTTGGACACATCCAACGTGATGGTGAAGAAGCAGGTGTTTGAGCTGCTGGCCGCCTTGTGTATCTACTCGCCTGAGGGGCATGCGCTGACCCTGGATGCCCTGGACCACTACAAGGTAGGCAGCGGGCACTGGGCCAGGGCGGGTGGCCCCCTACCTGGGCACCCCTGACCCCGCCCTCCTCGCAGACGGCCTGCAGCCAGCAGTACCGCTTCAGTGTGGTCATGAACGAGCTCTCTGACAGCGACAACGTGCCCTATGTCGTCACTCTGCTTAGCGTGATCAACGCCATCATCCTGGGCCCCGAGGACCTGCGCACACGCACCCAGCTACGGGGCGAGTTCATTGGTAAGTGCCTGCCGGCCTCCTGGACCAGCCTGGCCCACGCGGCATCCACCCAGGGAGGTGGCAGCTGTCAGAACCTGCCCCCGCTGTGCCCCCCAGGCCAGGGGGACTCCTGCCACCACCTGATCCTTTAGTGGCTACAGACTCCAGCACACCTGGCCATGCCCCCTGGATGGTTCTCATTGGCTGGGCAGTGGGGGCGCCAGTGGCCTGACCCTGGGTTCCAGCCTTGCCATTCTGGCAGTGACCCCTGAACAGGTGCCACTGTATGTTCAGCATGGTGTCTCATCTGGAGCTTCGAGCCCCTGGTGTTCCCTGGAGGCAGCAGAGCAGTTCTGGGTGCTCGGGGTGGCAGAAGTGAGCCAGGAGAAGAGGGGGAGGCAAAGAAGTGGGAGGTGGGGGCCCGAGGACAGGCAGGGTGGGCAGAAGCAGCCTCCGATCCTTTCAATCCCATCTTTTCCCTCCCAGGGCTGCAGCTACTGGACGTTCTGACCCGGCTTCGGTAAGTCCCTGCTGCGGCTGGTCCTGCCAGCTGCCACTCGCTGCTCCCCAAAGCCAGGCCCGCCTGCCTGCTGGGTCCCAGCTGCCTCACCCACTGGCACCTCCAGATGGGCAGGGAGGGAGGTGGCTGCCGTGGCCGGGTGGCCATGTGTACCCACTTCAAGCGTGGTCTGGGTCATACCCTCCCAGCACCCAGAGAAGGGCTGCCCCTCCCTCAGTCAGCAGCCTGGCTGTCGTCCTGGGTCCCCCCAGGCCTCTGTGTGTGTCTCTGCCTGGGAGTGGGAGGATGTACCCATCCCGTCCTCTTCCCCCTCCCCCCAAGGGCATGACCGCTGGGCAGCCTGGCAGGGCGCGAGGCTCAGACCTGGGAGCTGTCTCTCTTGCCCATCCCTGACTGTGCTGGCCACATGTCAGCCACAGAGCTGGCCACAAGAACTAAACTGGGGCAGATGCCAGCACTGCCCCCGTATGTCCAGGGTGGGAGGCTGGTGGGAACGGTCGGCTCAGCCCACCTCTGGCTTCCTACCTCAGAGACCTGGAGGATGCTGACCTACTGATCCAGCTGGAGGCCTTCGAGGAGGCCAAGGCAGAGGATGAGGAAGAACTGCTGCGGGTATCGGGCGGGGTGGACATGAGCAGCCACCAGGAGGTCTTCGCCTCCCTGTTCCACAAGGTGGGCTGGGGCAGGGTGGGCAGGGGGCAGCCTCCAGCCCAGGCTGTGGCCCGAGGCCAGGGCTTGCAATAGCCCGCACTGCCCTGGCCAGACCCCACAGGCTCCTGGCAGTGGTGCCAGCTCTGGAGACACTCCAGGCAGCAGCTGGGGGTCAGACACTGCACTGAGAGGTGCTTGCAGGGCCAGTCTGAGCTGTCCTGGGGCCAGAGTTGGGACAGGCCCTAGAAGGGGACTGAATTCCAAAGGCCAGGGCCATCCAGAGCCGACCACTCCCTTCAGGTGGCTGGTCCCATCAGTCCCATTGGATGGACTTCGGAGGCTCCAAGACTGAGTCCAGTGGTGCCCAGCCCCGCCCTCTTGTTCAGAAACAGCTGGCTGTCAGCTGGGGACCGTGTGTCCCCAGGTGGCATCGTGTGACATCTCAAGACATTTTTTATTGTCACAGCCAGGCTGGAGTACTTCTGGCACTGAGCGGGTGGAAACCAGGGTTGCCGTCTGCCCTCCTGTTAACACAGGACTGTCCCAAGTGTCACCAGTGCTGCAGTCTCAGGTGTCATCACTAGGGCTCTGTAAGGCACAGAAGGGTGATGAGGGTAGATGCCCAGCAGACAGGCCAGCATCTCAGCCACCCAGGGGTGTCGCTGCTGACCACTACCCTCTCCTGCATGCAGGTGAGCTGCTCCCCAGTGTCCGCCCAGCTGCTGTCAGTGCTGCAGGGCCTCTTGCACCTGGAGCCCGCCCGCCGCTCCAGCCAGCTGCTCTGGGAGGCCCTGGAGAGCCTGGTGAACCGGGCCGTGCTCCTGGCCAGTGACGGTGAGGGGTGGGCGCACACAGCCTGGGGGCAGACACCGGAGCCTCAGACCGCAGGGGAGGCCCATCCTTGACCCCTAACCCATCATCTGTCCGAGGGAGGGAGCCACCTTTTCCTGCTTTCCCCTCCACCCCCATCCCTTCCCCCAGTCCCCTCTTTGGCCCTCTCCCTTGACCCCAGCCTTCTACGCCACAGCCCAGGAGTGCACCCTGGAGGAGGTGGTCGAGCGACTCCTGTCTGTCAAGGGCCGACCCCGACCAAGCCCTCTGGCCAAGGCCCACAAGAGTGTCCAGGCCAACCTCGGCCTCAGCCAGAGGGGCAGCTCCCTGAAAAACGCTACCGATGTAGAGGGCCAGCAGCCAGCAGCGGCCCACACCTGCCAGCACGCGGGCAGCGTTCCGGGCGAGAGTGACGTGCCAGCTCAGCAGCCACAGGCCCTGGGGCAGCGGGCAACCACCCCACCCCCACCTGCACCCCCGCTCCCCGGCACCACCACCGGGCGCCCTC